TCATCTGCTTATACCCTGCTCACTTTGTTGCCTTCTCCTGAAACCCTTCTGAATCCCCCACCTTCTTTTCCACCCAGGCCAGAAAAGACCTTTCTGTGGCTGTTCTCTTGATTACTTACTCAATTCCCAGTTAATAACTGAGCCTCCTCTGAGATGACCACTGCCCTCAAGGATCTGGGGACCTCAAGATGGCACACTTGTGCTAATTTAGAATTGGCTGTTTCTCAAGTGGTTGTTTGGGCCCAGCATGACCACCTGTGTCGTGTCTTGCCCAGCCTGGCCCTAGGCACAGGGTAGATGGGTTTTCAAAATAACAAGATGCCATGAAGGCGTGGGAAGTGTCAAAGATGATTCCACAATGTATTCCCTAGGCCAAATGACAGCTGTGAAGCCAAGATGTTCTCAGGGCCCGTGAGAGGAAGTGCCTCTGCCGGTCCCTGCTAGGACAGGGCTGTCACCACTCTGGAAACCCCCACGTCACTGGGAGAGAGGCCAAGATCTAGGCCTAAATGAAAGACCCTCAGAAAGGCCCTTCCACACAGCTCCCGAGGGTCCAAGGCAGAGGCAGCAGGCTGAGGCTCACTCAAGAGTGGCCGCCAATCTCCAATCCCAGCCTCATGGGCCACATTCTCTGAAGGGGGTCAAGAGCAGGGAGGGCAGGGCTGGAGCTGGCCGGAGTCCGGAGGCGGAAGGAAATAAGAAACAATCAAGAAAGAATCCAGCCAGGCCTGGGGTGGATTCCAGCCAAGGGCCCGGCAAGCCTTGCACTGCCTAGGACTCCAGGGCTGCTGCCAGCTCAGGGTCTCCTTGTGCTCCTACTTTGTGGGGGGACTGGGTCTTCCCAGAGAACCCATCATTTCTCAGTGACTCCTTTAGAGGATCACCATGCTTCCCCTTCAACTCTGTTCCCAGGTCCTCATCATCCCAGCCATGGCCCAGGGTCCCAAGTCCCCAGGTAGCAAGTTGAGGAGAGGTGCTGGAGCCTATAGGGAGGAGGGGGCTGCCCTGCTGGTCTCCCTGTTCTGGCCAGCCTTGGGGGTGGGGGCTTCCGACTCAGTCCCCCAGGGTCCATGGTGGCTGTGGCTGCTGACGAGGGTGATTTCCAGGAAGAAGTGGCAGGAGGGAAGGAAGAGCTGAGTCAGGCCCCAGAGTGGAGGAGGGAGCTGGGAGCCCATCCCAGGACCAGGAGGCTCCAGGTTGAGGACAAGGAAGCCGAACACTGGCCCTGGTATCTCTCTAGCCTGGCCTTCCCTACCTCTCCCAAGTGCCCTTCTAGGTCCGGCCCCTCAGTCGTCAGAGTATCCAGGAGCTCTTCTAGGGTGACAGTGCAGTCCTCAGCTGAGACATCAGACCCTGATACGGGTCCAGGCTGAGCGGATCACTTGCCTGGCTGTCTCTTGGGTCAGAAATGCAGGCTACCCTGTCTCAGCCTATCCAGTTGTAAGATGGGCATGGTGGTGCATGCCTGTAATATCAGCACTCCTAAAAGCTGAGGCAGTAAGATCAAAAGTTCAAGCCCAGCCTGGGCAATTTAGTGACTTAGCAAGACTCCATCTCAAAATTTAAAAAATAAAAAGAGGGCTGGCAGTGTAGCTTAGTGTGAAGGCCTTGGGTTCAATTCCCAGTTTGTTTGTTTTTTTTAAACCCAGTTGTAGTAACTGAAATCCCATTTTATAAATGCTTTACTATAGGGCTCCCACAGCCATGCTGGATGTGTGTACAAAGTTCCCAGACATTCAGCAGAGCCTCCCCAGGGACCCAGTGGCTCTGCCAAGTGACAACTCGACAACTTGTATGAGAATGGCTAGAAGAAAGTGAGCATTTGCTAAGGGCAGAGCCTAGGCCAGGCCTGAACCACTCCTGGGCGTGGGGCCGGTCAGTGCCAAGCTCCAGATGACAGAGGGATGATGGCAGGCACAGCCCCAGTAGCAGGCAGAGCTGGCACTGGGCAGAAGCTTGCCATAGCCAGGGCCTCTGAAAACAGTCCCCAGAGTGCAGATGGTGGTTCCAGTCCTGGGGTGGAGCCCCAGCCATGCAACCAGGATGAGGAAGAGAGCAGGAGCTCAGCCAGGCTTGGGGGTACAGCAGCTGTTGACCCCATGGGGGGCCCCTATTACCCACCCAGAACCTCTGCAAAGAGCTCCAGGGTGGTTCCCAGCTGCTCTCCAGCCTTCCTTCTCTTTCCCTTCTCCAGACTTTCCCTGTTGTCACCAGCTCTTCATAGGGTTCCTAACATTCCCCTCTCCCCAGAACTCTCTCTATCAGTTCCTAAGGATGGGGGTGGGGCTTCATCTCAGCCGCACTTCTGCAGGCTCAGGTGACTTCATCAGAGTCATTCTAGGTAAGGTGGCAAGGCCAGGCCTCTGTCCCCTGAGCTCCTGTTGCAGTGTTTCATGAACTATGCTGCCAGTGAGACCTTGTGTTCCCATTAACAAAGGACATGGAAGATCCTTGTCTTGCTCAGGACTCGGGTGACTGGGTGACCAGATACTATTCCTACTTTCACAAGCAAGGTGGCTCAGAAAGGAAAGGTCCTTTGCCTGTGGCCACACAGCAGGCCAGCAGGAGAGCCAGCCCAACACCTGGTGCATGGCCTGAGGCTCCTCCGCATTGTGTGGGCCCCTCCTCTCCCAGGGCCCATTGTTGGGGAGGGAGGGCAGGGATGACCACTACTAAGTGAGGAGGATCTAAGAGGAGGGAGCCTGGGGCCCTGAGGTCCTGCCACTTTCCGCTGAGCACATCCTTGTCAGTGTCTGGAGCCTCCGTTTCTCTCTCTGTAAAATAAGGATAATGATTTGGTCTCTGATCACCTCACCAGGTCCTCAGGAGGATTTGCAGGGTTCAGGGACAGGAGGTGGTTAATAAGGGCAGAGGCAGGCCTGGGGACAAGATGTGAGGGAGGTACACCCTTTACCATGGGCTTTTGCTGCTATGATACAGCACTGCAGACTAGGTACTTTGTGATGAGCAGAAATTTATTTAGCTCATGGTTTTGGAGGCTGGGCTGTCTGAGGGCATAGCACCAGCAAAAGAGAGAGGAAGAGGGAGGGATGGAGAGAGGGAGAGAGAGAGCTTGGAGATTGTAGCTTTAACCCCTTTCCTAATGGGCACTAATGAAGCCAGGAGGAGGAGCCCTCATTACCCCAGCACATCTACTCAGCCCCACCCCCAACACTGTTGCATTTCGGATTAAATTTCTTGTGTTTTTGTTTTTTGTTTTTTGTTTTGGTACAGGGATCAAACTCAGGACCTTGCTCATGTGAGGCAGGCAGCAGAACCACTGAGCTAAATCCCAGGCCCGTTTCTGATTAAATTTCCAATACGTGATTTTGAGGGGATACAATCGAATCAGAGCACCCACCCCCACTGCAACTTGTCCCAGAGCCATCATCCCCTCTCCCTGGATTATCCAAGCCTCAGTTTCCCCTTAAGCCATCAAGCAAGGCCTGACAGGATCCACCTGACTAATCCTCACTGGGGGAGCTGTGGGAGGAATGGATCAGGCTCAAGATTAAAATCTGAAACAACTTCCTGAATTCATTTTCCATTGCTGCTGGAACAAATTAACACAAGTTGGTTTAAAACAACACAAATTCATTATCAGAAGGCCAATAGAGGTCACACTGGGTAAAGATCAAGGTGTCTAGACAGAGCTATGTTCCTTCTGGAGGCTCTAGGGAGTTTCTGGGTCCTTGTTTGGTCCAGCTTCTAGAGGGTGCACAGATTCCTTGACTTGTGCCCCCTTCCTCCATCTCTGAGTTCCAAAACTATATCTCTTTCTTTCCTTCTCCTTTTTTTTTGACACTGATAATTGAACCCGGGGGCTTTGAACTGAGCTACATCCTTAGTCCTTTGTTTATTTTTTTATTTTGAGACAGGATCTAGCTAAGTCACTAAGTTGCCCAGGCTAGGCTCGAACTTGAGATCATCCTGCTTCAGCCTTCTCGGTAGCTGGAATTACAGACATGTGCCACTGTGCTTGGCTCCTCATCTACTTTAAATCTTTTTTTTTTTGTGCCGGTACCGGGCATCGATCTAAGGACCTTGCACTTGCAAGGCAGATGAGGTGTTACTGAGCTAAATCCCCAGCCCTCCTCACCTACTTTTATGGGTGCTTGATGTAACTTTGGACCCACTCAGATGCTTCTGGATAATCTCTATTTTAAAGTCAATTGGCTGGTCCCGGGATTTAGCTCAGTGGTTTCGCTGCCTGCTGCACAGGCGCAAGGACCCGAGTTCGATCCCTGGTACCAAAAAAATAAAAATTAAAGTCAATTGGCTAGACTGTAATTCCAACAGCAATCCTAAATCCTTCTTTCCACGTAACAAAACATTCACAGATCTGGAGATTACAATATGGACATCCTGGGGGCAGGCATTCTGCCTACCATGATCCTTCTTCTCATCCTCCTAGTCCCCTGGCTTGCCTGATATTTCCCCTTCAGCATCTTTCCCTCTTGTAGGGTGCCTTCTAAACCCTGTCTCCTCATTGACCCTTCCCACATTTATACTATAAGATGGAACCAAGCATCCTGGTCACACAGTACCCTCATTCTACTGGGAGAAGTTACTGAGGATCGAATCCAGGGCTACACCCCCAGCCCCACACCGCAAGCTGACAGCTCTAGAAGAGAAGTCCCGTTGCTCCATCACTATCCATGTCTTCTTGTGCCTCACTCTTAGCGCTTAGCCACCTGTGAGGGTATCGCGGTGCACTTGGGACCCTGGGTTTCTTGCCTTTCCTTCCACTGGGCTGTAGATCCCAATGCAGAGAGGGCTGAATCCCCGAAACAAGAATGGCGCTTGGCTCTTAGTAGATCTTCAACAAGTATCTATTGCCTAACTGAACGAGGCAAAGGCCAAGTTTCCCTTCTATCTGCTGCAGCCTGCGCATGGCCTGCCCTTCAGTGTTTCTGCTAATGTGTGATTGCATGCGTGAATGGCTCTGAGTAGGAGCCCCACCTCCACTCTGGAAAGCACCTACCTAGCTGGACAGCAAAGACTCGCTTGCCCAGTCCCCCCAACCTACCCTGAGGAGGAGGGTAAGATCTCCAAAGCGCCCCTAAATTTGTAAGATTTTACGTAGGCGCCTTCACGGCCCCATTCATTCCCATAGTAGTCACTGAATATACTGGTGCCGGCGCCTCCCTCTACCCAGCCCTTAAGGGCGGGAGCTGGTCCAGTGACGTTCAGCGAATTCGGAAGAATTCGGTCTTCTGGCTGAAGCTTCCCGGCTCCTCTACAGTTGAGAGTTCTAGTTCCGACTCCCACAGCCGGAGTCCGAAGAGTCCTCCCTGGGTCCCGGACCGTGCCGGCCTAAGCCGCTGGAGCCGGGACCTGATCTTTGCGCGCACAGAGCAGCTGCAAAGAGGAGCCTGGGCGGTGCCGGGTGCGGGGCGGGGATGTAGGCGGTGTCCAGCCAGGCCAGCTCCTCCATTGGTCCCGCGGGTCAGGGGCAGGCTTCAGAGCCTCGGTCCGCACTGTAAGTTCACATCCCGGGTCGCGTCCCACTGCCGAGCTGTCCTGTTCCTGAGCTTTCGCGTCCGCGGGTCGATCGTCTATGCGCCTCACGGTGAGTTCGGACCAGAATTCTGCAGCCCGCTTGTGGCTCCACGGGATCCCCAGAGAAGTCCATCTCAGGGGCGACCAGTTCCAGCTCCCGCGCTGGCCGCGGGACTCACCTTGGCGCAGATCCTTTCGCGGACCTTCGGTCTCCATAGCGGTCCCGCCGTGCCTCGATCCGCGCAGTCCCTCCCGTGAATCCCACGGCCTGCGAGGTGCCGCGCTTCCCGACCCTGAGCTCCCCAATCGGTCTTCCATTCCACTCCGGCGCCTCTCCCCATGCCCGGAACCCGGGAGCGTTCGCCCGCCTGGTGGCGTACCCGCCTGGCTGAGGGCCGTATTTTTAGCTGGTAGTGAGGTGTCCTCCTATCTTTAGCCGTGGCTGCAGTGTCCTGAAACGGATCTGGGCTGGGCTGCGCCAGGGAAGAGGGCGGGGAGGGTTGGGCGCCGGAACCCGAGCAGGGCTGAGGAGCCGGACGGGGCGGGGGGCAGCACAACCGAGCTCTGGCCCTGCGCCGAGCGGACACTCGGACATCGCCCAGCCCGGGAAGCACGCGGGAGGCTCCTCCCAGAGTGTGGGGACGGGGCAGGGTCCTCAATCGCCCCGATTATCTGGTTGTGCCGTCAATAACTCTCAAGAGAAAGGATCCCTTGGACAGTTCTCATCTGGTACAGGGACGCGCCGCTCCTCAAGGGGCGCCAGCCTGGAGCCGGAGGCGCGCTGGCGACCCGGGTGCTCTCTGAGGCACCGCTCGGACGCGGGGCGATACCGGGAGCGCGCGCGCCACCTCCCGGCTGCAGGGCCAAGAGCCCTCATCTAGACCCTCCGAGACCCCATGCCAGGCAAGCTGTCCCAACAGGTAGCACAAGGACAGGGAGGACAAGGCAGGCGCCTGGTCCCAGGAGGCGGCTTGTTTTTGGTTTTTGTTGGACATGCTACCCCAGAGAAGCGATGTTTGATGAACGACTGGAGGTATCTGCTGAATGTCCACTTGACAGGAATGCCTGTGACCGCTGCCCCCCCGGGGGGGGGGGCGGTCTACTGTGCCCTGAGCACTCACTAGCGATATGGCAGTGGGGTTTCCAGCAACCCTCTGGGGATGGCTTTATAGAGGAGGAAGGTGAGACCCAGAGAAGTGTCTTCGCTAAAGTCATACAGTCCCAAGTGGAGCTGGATTCAAAGCTGGTCTCCTGATTGCACATCCCGAGTGAGGAGTGGCCTCCAGGAAGTCGCTGCTCTGAGGGAGGCCCAGGGCTCCTATCCAGGGCAAGCTCTGAGAGCTGGGATGGCTTCCATCTGCTCCTCTCCCTGCTGTTGGGAGCCACCCCTCCTGGCCCCCACAGCTTTGTCCTAATGAGAGCTCACCCTCCTGTCTTGACACTAGCAAGTTTTGGGGAGGGGGCCCGGTGGTTTCTTTCCTACTCCCCAACCAGATTATTGGTTGCCAAGGCCCACTGCCTTGGACCTGCATGGACCAGGCTGGGTACCAGTGCTTCCTCTTGCTAGTTGGATGACCTTGCAAAGTTCCTTAGCATCTTGAGGTTCAGCTCCAAGCTCTCTACAGGGCCATAATGACACCCGCAGCAATGTGGCTGGCAGCATTAACATGGGAAATTGCATGCCATGCTGGAGCTGGGGTCCGTGGTTGCCAAATCTGAATACTTGGGGCTTGCTAGCTGTAATTCCCAGCTCCCCTGGGCCATTGATGCTGCCCCACCCTTCCCCTTATCCTTGGTTCTCCCACGTCTGGAATTGGGTGGATACTTCTGGCTCTGAGCAAGATAGCTGTCAGGGATGGCCAGTTTGCTGTGGAAACACTCAAGTTGTCCTGGTGCTCTGGTGGGAAGGGGTTGGGGGAGGACCTGTCCAACTTTCTTTTCAATGGCAAATACCATTGACCAGCCACACTGTCCCTAAGTGAAAAAGATAAAAAGCTATCCCAGGATCTTGTTGGACAGGGGAACAGATTGGATATTTGTCAGCATGCACCTGGGCCAGGCATGGTGGACACAGGATAAATGAGTGATTAAAGTCTAAGATCTCAGGAGGCCCACTGCCTCCCTTCCCTGCAGCTCCTTCTAAGTTTAGCTGGAACCCACAACTGGAGAGTTCCTTTGTTTCCTGTTAAGCTGCAGGTACTCTTGAAGGAGCAAGATGTCTGGCCTCTGAGACTCAGCACGACTGATCTGTGTCTGGTTGTCCCGGGTGGGGTTTCCTGAGAGTGAGCCTGCACGGGAGTGGGAGAGCTCAGCTGCTCCTGTCCGGCCTGTGGGGTGGGGGCAGTGGGAAAGGGTGGGCTGGGCTCATTTGGCTTGAATGCCGGGCTTGCCCTCATCTGCTGGGTGGCATTGGATGAGTTTCTTTTTTGCCTTTATGGTGATTATACATCTGAGCTCCCATGTATCTGTATCAGGCCAAACATGGCCTCCCCTCAAGCACCCCAGGAGACAGAGGCCATACTTGGTTCATTTCTTTTTTGTTAACATAGTGCCTTTATTCATACTCATTAAAAATATGTATTTCTCCTGACTACATAATATATACATATAAATAATGCACACTTATTAAGAAGTTGAGCCAGGTGTGGTGGTGCACACCCATAATCCCAGTACTCTGAGAGGCTAAAACAGGAGGATCTGTAAATTTGAACCCAGCCTGGTCAATTTAGTGAGACTTTGTCTCAAAATAAAGAATTCAGAGTTGGGTGGAGATGTAGCTCAGTGTGAAGGCCCTAGCAACACACACACACACACACACACACACACACACACACACACACACATTCTGTGTATAAAAGGTCTGAACAAAAGAGGAAAAGCCAACCTGAATTTCTACCACCTTGAAATAACCACTTTCAGCTTTGGACAAACACCCCTTCGTATTTCCATATAACATACACACATGTCATAGTATAGTAGTGCAACAAGTGTTATATATCACTTTAATTAAGGACATATTTCCTTCAATATCAGTGACCCTATACCTCCTTACTGCCTCCACACCTCAGCCAAAGTAGTCCATATACAACCCAGTGCTGGCTCCTGGTTCTCCTGTGCTCTTACATAGGACAGAATCCTATACAGACCCATATATGTATTTACACATGCATATTTGGGGAGATGGGAAAGGGAAGGCAGTCAATTTCAATAAATGACATAACCTATGCCATGTTTTTATATTTTGCTTCTCTCTGCAATGCCTCATGGGAATCCTCCAAAATGTATCTGATACTTCGGGGTGGGGAGATGGAACCCACAGCCTTGTCCATACTGGGCAAGCACTCTATCACTTAGCTACACCCCCGGCCTGGATACCTTTAATTTTCAAATGAGGATGATAGTGAGGTGGTTGTGATGACTAATTGAAATATGTTTGCAAAGAGCTCAGAAGAATGCAAAGTACAGAGGCCCCTCTAAGAATATTTATACTAATAGCTGGGCATAGTGACACTAGCACGCTGGGTGGCTAAAGATCACAAGTTCCAGCTCAAGCCAGGCAAGTTAGCAACTTAGTGAGACTCTGTCTCAAAATAAATAATAAAAGGGTTGAGGATGTGCATCAGGGCATAAGCTCTGGATTAAATCCCACTACCTAGGGCCAGGGATTTAGCTCAGTGGTTCCGCTGCTTGCTTTGCAAGTGCAAGATCCCGAGTTCAATCCCCAGTACCCCGCCCCCCCCCAAATCCCAGTACCTCAAAAAAATTATTTTGTACTCCTCATTCTCTTTAGATTCTGGGGCAGGGAGGAGGGCCAGAAACCACATTAGATTCAGCCTTTCCCATAAGGAACTCCTAACCCAGAGGAAGAGAAAAGGGAAATTCCCAGATGACCTCACATACAGGTGAGATGAGACTGGACCACGGGGAAGGTGACAGCTACTCATCACTGTTGACTGAACACTTCCTGCTTGTCCAGCCCTGTGCCAGGTCTGAGTGGGGTGTGAAACCATCTGTGAGTCCCCCCAAGTGTGGCACTTACCATGTCATGAAGCACAGGGCAGGGTGACCAGTACAGCCAGGCACCCAGGGAAATGAGCAGTCCTTTGCTTGTGACCTCAGTTTTCCCACAGGTAAGAGGATGGGGCTGTGCTGGTGGTCTACTGTAAGGCACAGTGGGGTCTCTGAGAACATGCTTTTTTTTTTTGGTACCAGGGATCAAACTTGGGACTTTGCACTTTCGAGGCAGGTGACAGCACCACTGAGCTAAATCCCCGGCCCAGAACATGCTTCTTTTGGTGGCCTCCCCCAAAGACAGTGGCCCCACCTGGATTCCCAGCACTGATGCAGGGGTCCAGAAATGAGACAGTTACTTCTGACTTTTGTCCTCCTGTCCCTGACTTATGTCTCCTTTGTGTTTTACCTCCACAGCCCTGGACCAGGTCGAGAATTCCAAGGACAAGATCAAAGCCCATTGCTGCCAAAACGATCTCTACTTTTCTGCCTCCAATTTTTAGAAAAGAATTTTCAACTCCAGAAAGAAAGCAACTTTTGTTATCTCAACTCCCTGACTTCATTGGCCTTTGATGTTCCTTTTCGTAATTCCTTTGGCCAACTTTGATCACACCTCGAACTCTAGTCTTTAGGTCTCTGGCAAGTGTTTGATGTCTGAAAACCACTGGCTGAAGCCAGTGTTTCAGGTTGAGGGTGTTAAGCAGAGGCAGTGTGAACGGTGGGCCGGGCAGCCAGGCCTGGGTAGTGAGGTCACCATGTCCACCAAGGTCCCCATCTATCTGAAGCGCAGCAGCCGCAAGGGCAAGAAGGAGAAGCTACGGGACTTGCTGTCCTCCGACATGATCAGCCCACCGCTCGGAGACTTCCGTCACACCATTCATATTGGCAGTGGTGGTGGCAGTGATATGTTTGGGGACATCTCTTTCCTGCAGGGCAAGTTTCACCTCTTACCAGGAACAACCATAGAGGAGCCAGAGGAGGATGGCAGCTTTGACCTCCCCTTCCAGTTCACCCACACTGCCACCATTTGTAGACGGGAGCTTCCTGATGGGCCATCACCTCTGCTGAAGAATGCCATCTCCCTCCCAGTCATTGGTGGGCCCCAGGCCCTCACTCTGCCCACAGCCCAAGCTCCACCCAAGCCCCCTCGCCTGCACCTAGAGACATCACAGCCTTCCCCACAGGAGCCAGGCAGTGTGGACATCTGGAGGATTCCAGAAGCTGGCTCGCCCCACAATAGGCTGACCCCAGAGTCAGAATCCGAGGAGCCCTTCCTGTCCCATGCCAGCTCATTGCTGTCCCTGCATGTGGACCTGGGGCCTTCCATTCTGGATGATGTTCTCCAGATCATGGATCAGGACCTGGACCGTATGCAGATTCCTACATAGGACGCTCGGCTGACCATGCAGGGCACCCAGGTTGGGGTGATGCTGGGAGTCAGGGTGTGGACACAGTCCACCTGTGGCCAGTGGCCACTAATTCTTAGTTTGAGCCTTTGTTTCCCACCCTCCTGCCCTCTCTCCTGGGGAACAATGTGCCTCACTGATTTCCCCTAACAACCTGCTGAGGACATATGCAGATGTCAGCCCCCTAATGTGCCCTCTTCGTGCCCTGCCCCATCCCTTCTTCACATGACCAGGAGATTCTGGTTGCAATAAAACATGCTGCTGCCGGTGGCAGAGCAGCCAGTTCCCTTGCCCGGGCTTCCTCCTGAAGGTGGGTCAGTTTCTGGGAGCTGTGGGCTCACCTGGGTAAGACTCACCCCAGAGGGCTCAGTGAGGGCAGGCCCTTCCCTCAGCAGGGTTGTACCTGCTTCTGAGCCTGTGGAGAGAATGAAGCAGGAACAAATCAAGTGTCAGTAATGGATATGCAGGCACGGATTCAGGTGTCTGGTAAGAGGTGGCTGAGTCTGGGTCCAGTCCTTGCCCTGGTGGCTGGGATCTGCCAGGGAAGAGCCAAGAGTGATGGAATAACCATAAGCCTTGTGCAAGGGGCCAACAGCTCCAGCGCCAGGGGGCTGAGCACACAGAAGGAGGGATGGGCCCAGCCTGGGAGGGATCTGACAACGCTGACCAATGGACTAGCCCATCAGCAGCTGTTTGTTGAGCACCTACTGTCTACTTGGCATGGCCAGGTTCTGGAAATGAAAGGCAATGTGATCCCTGCTGTCTTAGAGCTCACATTCTGGTGGGGAGAAGGGTATTAGCTATGTATACTAGTAAGAGACGATTTCTAGCCTGGTGAATGCTAGAAAACAAAGCAATCAGAAGCCTGGGGAGAGGGGTGCCCCCAGCTGAGGCAGTGGTGTCAGGGAACATTTAGGTGACAGATGTGATTCTGAGCCAACAGCAAAGGCACTGAGGCCCCAAAGTGAAGGACAGAGAACAGCCACTGTGGGAGAGAGCAAGGAGCATGGACCTCTGAGTTACATCTACACTGTGTGAGACTATTTATCTCTAACTAGAATCAATAACTGCCTTGCAGGGTTGTTGGGAAAGTTAAGGATAACTGATTAATTTCCACATGAAAGATATTAAAAAATGGTTGTGACACATGACACAAGAACTTGGGACTTGGGAAAGGCAGGACTGTGAAGGTGGAAAACGGTGGTGTCGGCTGAGAAACTTCAGTGCTTATGAGGCTGGAGCTGGGGGATTTGAGATAGGGGAAACACAGTCAGTTGAGAATGTCACCATCTGGCTGAATGGAGGATGGGGGCAGCCACTGCAGGCAAGGGAGGGGTACTCAACCGAAGTGGGGGACAGAGAGGAGCAGGATATGCCAAGGTGGGCTAAGCGCCTGGTACAGACCACAAGTTCAGTTCACAGTGGCCCCGTTCTTCCCCTCGGCCCTTATTCATCCTTTAGACCCAGACTCTCACCCCACCCCCATCATTTCTGGCCTCCAGGAAGGGATTTCATATGGAGGCAGAATTTGAGCAGGTGCTGCATTTTTTTTTTTTTTTTGGTACCAGCGATCAAACTCAGGACCTTGTGCTTGCCAGGAAGGCGGCAGCACCACTGAGCTAAATGCCCGGCCCCACGATGATCCATTTTTTAAAAATTACGGTAAAAGGTACATAACAAAATCTACCAAAGTTTTTGTTTTGTGGTACTAGGGACTGAACCCAGGGCTTGTGCATGCTAGACACGTGCTCCACCATGCAGTTATGTTTCCAATCTACCACTGTTATGTGTACTTTTCGGTGGCATTAAGTACACTTACATCATTCTGCAGCCATTACCACCATCCATTTTCAGAATGTTTTCCCAAACAAACTGTCCACAATAAACCCTAACTCCTCATTTTCCTCCCCCATCTCCTTGCAGCCCCCATTCTACTCTGTCTCTATGAATCTGACTACTCTAAGTACCTCTTATAAGCAGAATCACACAGCATTTGTCTTTCTGTGACTGGCTTACTTCAATTAGCATGAGTCCTCAAAGGTTCATCTGTGTTGTTGCATGTGGCAGAATTTCCCCCTTTTGAGGCTAATAGTCCACTGTACAGACAGGTCAGATTTTGTTTATCCTCTGACACCTGTATTGCTTCTACCTTTCAGCTATTGTGAGCAATGCTGCTATGAACATCGGTATATAAATATCTGTTCAAGACTCTGCTTTTAGTTTGGGGATATGCCCAGAAGCAGAACTGCTGAATCACATAGTAATTTGTGAGGCAGGCGGCAGAACCACTGAGCTAAATCCCTGGGGGTAATTCATTTTTAACTTTGTGAAGAACTGTCCAATTGTTTCTCATAGTGCCTGCACCATTTTATGTTACCACCACATATTTTGGTTTTCATTTGAATTTTTTAATTTAAAGACTGGGGACTTCACTATCTGCCGTGGGATCTAATCCCAGCTCTGTGGGACCCCAAAGCCTGTACTTGACCTAAACCTCTGCCCCACTGGGCTTCAGCCTGCAGGCCCTGATGAAGTCCGAGGAGGCCCAGGGTAAGGGTAGGCGAAGGACAGCACCTTCGCTCCTGCAGAGCCCCAGCACTCTGGGCAGCTCCAGCTCCATCCTCTTCTGCCTGAGAGGGGAAGACTACAAAAGACACCTTCTGAGAGCTTCCCCCAGCCAGAGAGCAGCGCCTCACCCTGGACCTGAGCTGATGCCTCGCTATTCCACGCTTTCTTCACCCAAGTCACTACCTCTTCAGGCGAGCCTTCACAAAGTTTCCTTTAAATCAAGTGTTAATTGAAGATTAATTGTGTTAACTGAAGACAGGAATGGCAACAAAAATGACAGTTAAGAATGATGATGGGCTGGGGATTTAGCTCAGTGGCACCGAACCTGCCTTGCAAGTGCAAGATCCTGAGTTCAATGCTCAGTATCACCAAAAAAAAAAAAACCAAGAGAGAGAGAATGATCACAAAAGTGATGAAAGGTGGCAGACATCAAAATTCCGAAAACATCTGACATGAGTGTATTAAGTACTCCATTATAACACATGACGTATTGATTTATAAAGATTCATATTAGATACAACCAAATCTATTCATCATCAAGTGTGCACAATATTTGTGTGTTGTGCCTGTACTCTGACTGGTTGTTCAGCACTGAGTCTGGAGTTCATCTGTTTTTTTTATTTTTATTTTTTGGTACCAGGGATCAAACTCAGGACCTTGCGCTTTCGAGGCAGGCGGCAGGACCACTGAGCTAAATCCGCAGCCCTGGAGTTCATCTGTTTGCACAGGCATTTACCTCTGGTCCAAAGGTGCCTGCTTGGGTATTTATAAATACCTAATTATAATTTTATAGTATCATTTATTTTAACTATTATGTTAATAATATATTTATATTTAATTATATGTTAATATTTTTAAATTCAAAACATTGCTGTGTGTTGGAATAGACATACTAAATCCATTTATCTGGCTCATGATTTTAATTGGGGCTTACTTTGGGGTAGGGTTTATATTTCAAGCATCCTGAAAAATCAGGCTAGGGCTTATTTTCCAGTTAGGTCCTATTTTCATGGAAATATAGTATATAGTGAGACCCTGTCTCAAAAAACAAATACAAAAAAACAAGTTTGAGGCCATTCTGGGCAACTTAAAATAAAAATAAATAAATAAAAAGAGCTCAGTAGTAAAGCAGTACCACAGGGGGAAAAATTCAATTTTTCCAAAGGGAGACAACTCAAAGTATTGTTAATTATCACATCCACTCCCAAGTCCAGGAGTTCTGAGTGGTGTCCATTCCTCTTGCCATTTCTTTCTCAGCCCATTTCCATATTCTGAACCATGGTTTCAAACTAATAACCTAAATACATCACATATACAAAATGGAGGAAAAGAGAAATGAAAAATTAAAATCTATTTTTAAAAAACCCACACTTGACACAGGGAAATAAATACATGTAGAAGCCATGGCTTTTTCTACAACAAAGCTGCAGTATGAGTAGCTTCCCTCCTTCACCACCCAGTTCATGTTCTCTTGCCTTTAGCCTGTATCTTGGCTGTTCTAGGTTCTTTTTTTTAACTTGAGACAGGGTCTTGGTATGTAACCCAGGCTGGCCTGGAACTCACAATCGTCCTGCCTCAGGCTCCTTAATACTGGGAGTACAAGCATATGCCATCACCCCTGGCTTGTTCCGTATACCCTTTTTTTTTTTGGTACCGGGGATTGAACTCCGGTCCTTGGGCTTGCAAGGCAGGCGGTGGAACCACTGAGCTAAATCCCCAGCCCCTGTTCTGTATTCTTTAGACCTGATCAGGGTCTTTACCCATGTACCAGACCTTCATTTTTTAAAACTTTGAGCTGTTAGTCATCCTTTATAGTTTACTTTCCCCCAAAACTTTCTATTTAGAAGTATTTCAAGCTTAAAGATACATTGAAATAATAGCATAGTAACTATCCATATACATTCATTTTGATTTGCCAATTATTATTCTGCTTCTTTACATATAAATTTTTTCCTAACCTTTTTGACCTTTTGAGAGTTAAGTTCCAGAAGTCATGACATTTCACATCACATACTTTAACATTTATCTTATTTTATTAAATTTTTTAAAACTGACACATAAAATTGTATTTATGCAGTACCATGTAATGTTTCAATACACATATTCATTGTACAATGATCAAATCAAGGTAGGTAAGCATATCTAGCTTCTCAAACATTTATCATTCTTTGAGGTGAGTGAAAACATTAAAAATCCTTTCCTTTAGCTTTGCCTTTCTTTCTTTCTTCCCCCTCTCCCTTTCTTTCTTTGTACTGAGCATTGGACCCAGGGCCTTTCATATGGTAGGCAAGTGCTCTATCACTGAGCTACATCTCCCACCCTCTTTTTAAATTTTTTTTTGTACTGGGAATCAAACTCAGGACCTTGCACTTGCCAGGCAGGTGTGGTACCACCGAGCTAAATCCCCAGCCCTAAATTTTTAAATTTTTGAGACAGGGTCTTGATAAGTTGTCCAAGCTAGGCTTGAAGTTGCAATCCTCCTGCCTGGCATCATAGTCTCTAAGTTTTTATTTTCTGTTGTTTTATTCCCTGTACTATATTGAAGGCAATTTCTATCTTCTAGTACACTTGTTTTATCTTCAGCTGTCTCTAATCTGCTTTTAACCCCTTCATTCACTGTGTTCATTTTGGTTACTAGATTTTTCAGTTCTAAAAGTTCTATCAAAATTTGGTGTCGCCAGGGATTTAGCTCAGTTGTTCCACAGCCTGCCTCACAAGCACAAAGACCTGAGTTTGATCCCCAGTACCAAAAAAAAAAATTTGGTGTCACACTTTTTTATAGTTATGTGTTCTCTACAGATTTTTTTGTGTTTACTTTATCTAAAATTAAGGTCAGTGTTATTTTATGGTTAGTACCAGATAATTCTAATCTCTTAAGTCTTTGGGGGTCCATTTATGTTTTCTAGTAATTCTACTGATCCTTTGCAAGGTTTGTTTCTTTGTTTACCTGATTACTGCTGATTATGGGCTGGACCTTGTATTTGACAAATAGTTTTAGAAATATTTAAGGCTCAAGATAGCATATTACCTGGAAGCAAATATGCTTGTCTTTGCCAGATGATCAGGTGCATTATAAAATGCGTCCATGTTAATCTATGTTCAAGGGTGACCTTTCCTGGACCACCCAGATAATAAATGGAATGAGTCCTATCTTAAAGTATGTATATGTCAATGTATGTGTCATATATCTGACTTCTCACCTTGGATAAGCTCTGGATTTTAATTTTTGCCCCTACCCCTAAAGATTCCCAAACAATAGTTCAATTTCACAGTTGTATCTTCCAGGTCAGCAAATATCTCCAGGACAAAAACTGCTTTAAATTCTGGGTGTAGGGCCAGGGATTTGGCTCAGTAGCTCTGCCGCCTGCCTTGCAATCACAAGGTCAATCCCTGGTACCAAAAAAAAAAAAAAAAAAAAAAATTCTGGGTTCATTCTCTAGGTTTTAGCCTCCTATATGTTGGCCCAGTGATTCTTTACTGTATTGTTAGCTTTCCAATGCTTTTAATTTTTTTTTCACTCTGTTTTAATTTCTCTTCAGTCAGAGGGCTAGAATCAAATACCTAACCAGGTGCCTGGCTTCCCTTAACTATCTGAATATAAGATTAAGAAGAAACACCTCAGGGGATTTACTGGGTTTCATTTATATTTCCCCCTGCCCTCACAGAGGACAGCAAACCTGTTTTCACTTGACAGCTGGAATCACTCACCCCAGCCAACAGTGGGACCCTCTTTTTTCACTTTCTTGCCCAGTAGCACTGGAAACACCAAATGGCCTACAGACAATCTCAGTTCAAGATTTAGAAATTGTTCTTGGTGCCCCCTGATGGAAGCTTTTTTTTCTTGGGTCCTAATGGCTCTAAATCAGCCAGAACCCAGAATTGCAGGAACAGGAAATGTTTTGCAAAAGTCGTTAGCTGATATTGCAAGAGGTGGTAGTTCCACTTTCACTCTTTGGTTCCTGTCTGTAAGAAACCCTATAGATATTGTTCAGCAATGTGGCACTTCTTAAAAGAGTCCTAAAATCATTTGGAACAAGAAGAGACCCAGAATAGCAAAAGCAATTCTAGGTAACAGAGACATGGCAGGGGGTATTACAACCCCCAACTTGAAACTATACTACAAAGCTGTGATAAAAACAGCATGGTACTGGCAAAGAACCAGACCTGAAGACCAGTGGAACAGATTAGAAGATGCAGAAACAACTCCAGACACACTCAGCCACCTCATCTTTGACAAAGGAGCCAAACACCCTCACTGGAGGAAAGGTAGTCTCTTTAATAAATGGTGCTGGAGAAACTGGGTTTCAACTTACCAAAGACTAAAACTAGACCTATATCTCTCACCATGCACTAATCTAAAATCGAAATGGATTAAATATCTGAATATAAAAACAGAAACGCTGAACCGGCTGAACAGAGGTTAGGTAGAACTCAAGACACTGGGGTAGGAAAAGACTTTATGAACAAAAACTCAGTTGCCTGTGAACTAGCACAAACAATCAACAAGTGGGATCTCTTTTTACTAAAAAGCTTCTGCATAGCAAGAGAAACCACCAGCAGTATGAAGAGACAACCCACAATGTGGGAAAAAATGTTCACCAGCGGTCCCTCAGACAAAGGCCTACTATCTTGAATATACAAAGAACTTAAAAAAATCAGACCTCCCAAATTTAAAGACCCAATCCAAAAATGGGCATCTGAAATGAACAGACATTTCTCACACAAAGAAGTAGACATGGCAAATAAACATATGAAAAAATGTTCGCCATCACGGGTCATTTGAGAGATGCAAATGAAACCAACGCTGAGATTCCACCTCACTCCAGAAAGAATGGCTGCTATCATGAAATCAACCAACAACAAATGCTGGTGGGGCTGTGGGGAAAGAGGAACCCTGCTCCACTGCTGGTGTAAGTGTAGACTGGTGCAACCACTGTGGAAATCAGTATGGAGATACCTCAAAGAACTAGGAATGGAAGTCCCATTTGACCCAGCTATTCTCCTGCTGGTTATCTTCCCCAAAGAATTAAAACAATCATACCACAGTAATATATGTGGACCCATGTTCATAGCAGCACAGTTTGTAATAGCTAAAACTTGGAAACAGCCCAAATGCCCATCAACTGGAAACTGGATCAAGAAAATGTGTTTTTTTAATAAAATGGAGTACTACTCAGCCATCAAAAATGAGACATTGAGACAATACTCTTAGGTGAAATAAACAGGACACACATGTGTAAATACCAAATAGTTTCTCTAGTGTGAGAAACTGAAAGTGTAAACAAGGACTAAAAGGTATAACAGATAATGTGAAATAGGAAGAAAAGGGGCAAAGGGGAGGGGGAAGTGGGAGGGGTAGGGGAAAGGAAAGAAGGGAGTGGAATTAATATGAGAAAATGAAAAAATGGAAACAAAGTC